GAAGGGTTACATGGACTCCGAGCTCTTCCTGAAATGGCTCCACCATTTTATCAGATATGCTCCCGGCAGCCCTGAACAATGCTTATCAGAGGACAGAAAAAAACAACATGTGTTTGAGTTATTTCATAATAAACAAATTGAAATTGTAGCCTTCATAGTTTGTGCAATTACATTTATTTAAATGGAACGTTGAAAGATAATACTGATTATGTTCTATTCTGTAATGTTAATAGAAATCATACACTGTCAAGAATAAAAAGTTGCATTTTATGCATGCAGCAGCCTTTCAGTGTCAGTCCCTTATGAAAATGAACCATGGTTTTACTAAAGTGACCATAGTTCAACTGTAGTATTTGTAGATTTGCATCACGTGTAAACAAAAAACATATTTGAACCTGTAAACAAAAATATAACCTAATAAGTTACAATTAAGGCGTATTGAATGTTAAGTGGTTATCATTACCCATTTTTCTTAGTAATTTAATAAACTTCATAATTTAAAAGTTTAGTTCAGAAGTATCGATATCGACGATACTGGCCTTTAAAAGTATCGGTATCGTATCGAAAACAAAATAAGTGGTATCACCCATCCCTAGCGAAAAGTGTACGGAACATGGTTAGTCTACGTTACATTTGTTGGTTTTGTGTGATGGGACGGAGTGTCTTAGAGCCACAGAAAGACAAACGTTTTGCGAAAAAATGCACAATACACAATCTTCCAACCTAGGATGAAGTCATTATGTACATTAACAATCATTTGGGACAAATATAATGTAATTTAATGGAGAATGATGTGAGTGGCGCCGAGGCGTTCTGTGGCGCGGCAGGATTATGAACAGCGCCCGGAGTCGGGATCCGCGGAGCGCGGACAGTCGCCGGTGCGCATACAGTCATGGAAAACAATGTGTGGGAATTTTAAAGACGTGGCGCGGTGCAGGGCTGCACATGTCGTCCGGTGTGCGACCGCCTTAAGGCTGGATGGCCTCTTGTTTCAGAGGTGGAATTGTCAAAGATGACTTTTAGAAGAGGACACCGTAAGCTAGGCTGGTAGTTTTTTCCCCCGACGAGGTTATATATATATATATAATTTCATTTGGGGCCATCCATTTATTATGTCATTGTTTAATTATCTTCATAGATTACATTAAAGGACTCCAAACCTGTCATACTGTCCCAGTGTAGCTGTTCCTGTGTAGCTGGCACAGCACTGTGCAACTGTATTGTTGCACTACTGTACCAGACTGCACATTACTCTCAGCTTGGCATCAGTGCAGTTCCTCACGTCGAATATAGTGAATCCATTTTTTACGTGTTTCCTTGTCCAAAGGGAAAGTATGGAAACTAACCACAGAATTACACCTTTGAGGATGTGTCACATAATGGGCCATATATTTATTTATTTTTGAATTATGAAAAATGTGCACCTATTCTGTGGATAATAAGATTTTTTTATATAATGATCCCTTACTCAAGCTCAAGCAGCAGAAGTTAAGTGACAGAGCGCAAATACTTCTGGCCCATTTTGGAGTGAACTAAATATGCAAGACTAGTTTTACATGTCTCTGTTTATACCACAGGGTGTTCATCCTTTGCTGGGCTGTTTAAAAAAAAAAAAAATGGGGGCATAAATTAAGAGTATACCCACTTCTCCAGGAACCACTACACCACTGCTGACCTCAACCCGATTTTCATTCTCAACCAAAATGCAACGTCTGTTCGACGTCATGATCCCTTGGATCATGATTATTTGTTTG